AAGCGCCGCTACTGGGAGGGTCTGATCGCCGAGTACCCAATTCTTTTGTTGCCGAATAACGTCGTGATGCTGCTTTGCCGCCCCTTTTGCCGTTTCCTCCAAGTCCACCAAGACTCGCCCCGTTCGTCGTTCGGTCCGGGCGCGGTTTCTCCAGTATGTGTAAATATGGCGTAATTGTGTGAGGTCGGTTGTCCACCACCTCTTGGCATATGGCGATGGTCTTGCCTTCGGTGTCAAGGTTTGGACCGCCTCTAGGACCGCCGACATCAGTCGATGGGTCTGCTGCTGTACGGTGCCCCCAGACGGGGTGGCGTCCAGTACCCCTGCAATCCTGGTGTTTATTTTCTTCCAAGGTGCATTCTTGAGGAGAAGTCGGTCCCGTTGATTTGGTACCGGGACCAAGGTGTCAAAGATCGTCTCAATCGCGCGGTTATCGATCCGTGCTCTGTCCTGTGGATCGCACACTTGACTGTTGTGTCCGCTAGCTCCGTAGAAGCCAGGACTAGATCGATAGTCGTGTCGTAATCCCCACCGTGCCATGTCTTCGTGCCTCGCCGAAGCAGACTGCGAAGGGTGAACTCGTTCATTAGGTCGATATTTCAATCCGCCTCCCCCTGCCTTTCCAAAGATACATCTTCTCCTCCCCACAGCTGGTCGTGCCGATTGAAATCCCCGGCGATCACCACGTCCACCGTCGTACCCGCGTGTCGTCTTGTATCTGTGATTATGTTGCGTAAATTGTTGCAAACGCTTCCTAGCGCCTGAGGATCCTGCTTTGGTACATAAACGGACACCACCAAGACCCGCCGATCAGGGAGCCTCAGGATGGCTGCTGTCATTGTAACGGGCTGGGCCCGGTGCGAGCCTCGGTGTCACAGGACCATAGTAGGTCTGGGAAGATAACTGCGTTGTGTAACGGGCTGGGCCCGGTGCGAGCCTCGGCGACTCTCGGCAAATACCAAGACCCCTGATGAGGCTATTCCCACTCGCCCCACAGCACACCGAACCTTCTAGCAACGCGCTCAGACCAGCGCGCCGACGAGGATAAGTATGCTTGCGAGCTACCAGAGTCTGTCGTCTCTCCTTTTCTTCTCCAAGTTCAGTGTACTCGTAGAGTCGTCATCAGCTAGTTGCAATATACTACCTGAGACCGTTACAGTCATGTCCGGGGATCCTATAGGTACCTGTTCCGCTTCCACATCCCTGTTCACCCAAAGCATACTTCGTATTGCCCATCTGCCTTCTCTCCAAGTTGAGGGAACCATCTTGATCCACTTGTGGTGTCCCATAGGGGTAGTCAAGAGTCGGCCCTTAATCCTTCGTGCTTGAGGCTCCTGGATGGCCAACACTGTTGCGTCCTCAATGTCCTTGTCGTTCATCAAGCTGTCGTGTACCACACCCTGCTTTCGCACATTAAGTTGAATCAGGCGGAGCGTTCTACTCATGACGAGATGGGTAGAGCCTCTGGCAGTTCCTGCTGAACGATTCATGCGGGCCGCTGCACAGGACGCACTTGGTCACCACTTCGCTGCAGCCACTGTGGTGGTGGCCCACCTTGGCACACCTGGCGCACACGTGAGCGTTTTTGCACTGGAATGCTTTGTGGCCGATCTGCTGGCAGTTGTAGCATTGCTCTGGTCTCATCCGACGTTCGAATATTCCAGTGTATCCTGATTCACCTCCGGCGTAGAAGAAGCCGTCGTTGAGGAGCTGTTGGACAGCAACAGTTACAGGCTCGAATAGGCATAGACCAACCAGGTGACACTGCATCAATTGAGGCACAAGATGAAGCTTGAATTGACTGTCTGAATTATGCGTCATATGTGTGTGTTGCTTGAAGAACCGAGGGCTTCGGGACCCTCGCCAGACCCTGCTTTTGGGTGGGTGACGAGTCTTCCACGCTTACTGCATTGGGCAACAGTGCCCAGCACCTGAATCCAGGTGCCAAGGAGCCAGTTCAGTTCAACAGGAGCCTCCTAGCGTCTCCGGCTTTGGTGACATAAACCACCATGGATCCATACGCTTTTGCGGCGTCTTTTCTGCTCAGCCAGGCCATCTTCGCAATCTGCACCTCGTTTTCCTGGCTCAGGGCTTCAGTAGCTCCAGGAAGGACCCTGCCTTCGTGGTCGATGACGGCCGTGCGGTTGACGTTGTCCACTTTGACTGGGTACAGCTGGTCCCGAAGGACTCTTGTATCCGGCGTCTTCTTCGCTTCAATGATGTCCTTGATCTTCTTGACTTCGTCTTCGTTCCTGCCGAGGATCCTGATACGGTTGTTGTTTCCTCGGTCTCTAGTGACGGCAACACAACGCCACTTGGGTTGATCGCCAGGCGCTCGCATTTCGTTCTCGATGAGTTTGCGAAGGGCCACTGGTGTAGCCTCTCCGATGTGTTCCTCTGGCACCCTGGTCATGTCCACCGTGCAGTGTGTTGTTACAGTCACTAGCGAAATCGGCTTCCGCATTTTATTCCTTCGTTTCTTGTCAGGGTGCGCCTCTTTGGCCCTCTTGGCGCTTACACCGTGCCTGTCCCACGCGGATGTACCGTGCGGTACTGACTGGCCTTGCTTACTAAGGCATGTCGAAGCAGGCACGTGGCAGGAGCTACTGTTTGGCATCACCACTGGGGGAACCGAGAGGAACTTCTTTTTATCTGCCCTTTTTGACCGCGGTACTTGTCAGCTCAATCCAACAGAAAATCGGTTTTTTCGGAAGGTGAGCCGCCCTGCCAAGGGAGCGCGAGATGGCGGCGGCGGCGCAACCTGAGGCAGTGATCGAGGTGGCCGACCGCCCACCGTCACCGAAACGACCGAGCCGCGCCCTAAAACCGAGTGCGAAAGTCCGTGAAGCGATGCAATCGCTGGAGGATGCGGCCATTACGTCGAGAAG